TTTTTTTTTTTTTTTTTTTTTTTTTTTTTTTTTTAACAATGTTACACAATCCACATTAGAAAAACCTACCATATCGAGATCCATTGATGGTTTAATATGCAAACAATAGTTTGGGGTTCCACAAAGATACCGTACAATCCTCTTGATGCCTTACTAGCGATTATTTGTTGGATAACTCATATACTAGCTCAATTTATTTACTGAATAGGCAATGTTTGGCCTGGTATTAATTAAATATTGTAGGACACCAATAGCTTGTCTAAAAATAGTAGGATTCTTTATTGGTTCACTTTCATTGGTAAACGACCTCCCTATAACTATAGGTGTTGGGCACGAGGAGGCTTGATCCATTTTGAATTTCTCGAGGACATCTACAATATATTTGATTTGTTTGAGACAAATTAGGTGTGATTGAATCACTCACTCATTTCAAAAGCCCCTTGAAGCATGAGAAGAAGAGGATTTAAAAAGGTAAAAAATGTGATTTTCCAAATTTACAAGCCTCATAAAAGTTAAACCAATCATCTTTTGGAACATTAACATTGCAACTTCTTAAGACTTTATCCAAAACTTTACTACTAGGGTGTCCAAACCTCTTGTGCTAATTCTCCTTTATTGATAAATAGATGTATGAGTCATCATTAGGTTGAGCATTGACATTAAAGAGTTGGTACATGCCATCTTTAACCTTCCCTTTTAGTAGAACCTTCCTTGTCATCTTGTCCTTCATAAAGCAATCACTTGCATCAAACTCAATTGTAATATTATTGTTAGTAGCAAACTTAGAAACACTTAGTAAATTTGTAGTGATCTTTGGCACATAAAAAAGATCATTTAGGTTAAGAAATCTTTGACAGATGTTTAAAGTTGTAGTACCAGATGCATGTATTTTCAACCTCTCACCATTACCAATAACTAGAGAAGCCTTACCATTATGTTAAAAAATTTCCTAGAATTGATCATAATCATGTGTGACATGATTGCTAGCACCACTATCAAAATACTACTCTGGATCTTTAATTGAGTTTGGCGAGGCAATAAAGGCATTGTGATTTGGCAGTGTCTTTGTTCTTGCATTTGAAGATTGACTCATGTATGATTTATCAAATCTATTAAAAGCATCACACAATAGTGTGGCCAAATTGTCCACACACCTAACATGTTGGTTTGTCTCGAGACAATCTTCATTTTCCTCTTCCACTTCTGAAATTATTTCCTTTCCAGCCTCCACGAGTGTGAGATTGATTCCCTTGTTGATAAAATCTAGTTGCAACATATGTTAAAGGGCTAAGAGTCAAATTTGAAAAGGAACTTAATTGCTCAAGTTTATTTTTAAATGCTAGGAGTTGTGCTTGCAAATCATCCCAATTCAAATCATTTTTGTCAAATAATTGGACTACTATAGCATTATAGTCAAAGTCCAAGCCAACTAAAGTCTAAATGATCAGATCAATGCTAGAGATGGGACTTCTTGTGAGTTTGAGATCATTTGCTAGTGGCTTTATCTTTATGAGATACTCCTCTATCTTCATTGTGTTGAGCATTGAGCATCTTCCCAAAGCTCTTTAGATGTTTCACAGTGTTAAAGTTGGGTGATAATATCTTTTGCCATTGTGTTAAATAGCCATCCCAATATTTGTTAGTTAGTGGCCAACCATTCCTCATAAACAAGATTGATTTTCTTTGTTGATCCCTTTGAGATAAATTGTTCAGGATACTATGTGAATAACCAATTTTATCGGAACATATTATTTTCAAATAAAAAAAATTAAGGATGACAAGTCAATTACAAAAGATAAGGTTGTAATGCTTACTTACGGAGAGAATATAATGGTTGGTTAGTGGTGTCTAAAAAATAGGAGATGGTGAAGAGGAGTTGGTCAAGAAGGGATAAGCCTGTTACCATTTGCTTCATTTTTTGCTATTAATAAAAAGACAAATACACTCTCAAAAGGGGAACTGATCGGCGAAAAAAAAAATCAAAGATAGAAAGAGAAGAGAAATACTTGGGAAATGCTAGAGATTAGGAGAACAATTTTGTACAACATTTTACAAAAGCAAACTAACAATTGTTGTGGTGTCAATTAGAAGCCAAAAGCTTACATCATCCTTCGTTTGGATATCATGTTATTTACAAATTCAATAAATTATTTGTTTTACTAGTTTATACTCTTTTCCTTATCTAACTCTCTTTTATTTCTTTACTATTATGTTTCTTTCCCTTTTCATTTTAATCAACATGTATCAATGCATATTTTATATATATTGAACTTGCAATGTAATTCACTCATTTTTCAGTGCAATCGATCTTTTTCCCCCCTCTTGTTTAGTGTAATCGGTGTCTAATACTTTGACCATTAAGTTCTAGAAAAATAAAAATAAAAAATGTTATACAAGTTATCCTTCTCTCTCTCTCTCTTTCTTTATCTCTCTCTTTATGCGTTATTTAAATTAATGATATGATAGTCTACAATTTAATCATTTTTTCTTTGTATTATTTAGTTTTTTTTAATATATACTAGAGATATATGCTCAAGATAATAATATGTGATTTGTGTTTGAGTAACTTTTTTTTTTATTAAATTTGTGTGATCATTCATAATGTTTAGGGTTTCAAAAACATATATTTTAATTCATACAATGATTGGTGATATTAATTGAGTAGCAATTCTACTATTAATATTACTTAAATCATAAGAATTTATAGAATAGTTATTTGTTTATATTTTTGTACAAGGATTTTCTTTTAATAAAAATGCATAAAAAAGTGAAAGTTGTTATTTTTTGATAAAATATTAAAAATTTAAAATACATCAATTGATAAGAATAATTGAATACCAATTTTTTATTTAATGTTATTGTGAAGGTTTATTAATTAAATAAAAAAATCCTTTTTCTTCATTTATTAAAAAATAAAGGATCAAAAAATATTTCTTAGTAATGAAATAAACATTCGTAAAGTTAAGTATTTTGTTCAATCTATAAAATTATTGCTTTTTTACATGTAATTGGTTTCTGAACCCAACTCTAATTTAAAAAAGACCATTTTCTAATTTTTTTTAATATTTTCTCTCTTAAAATAAAATATTAGCGAGGATTTCTTTAAAAATATTTATGTATCATTCCGTCGTAATTTTGATTGTGACACACTCCGTTGTCATGATTTTTTTAGTGTGAATTAGTGGTGGAATTCATGGTTGATTGGACCGAGCTAAATGCTTTAAGAGCTTCTGATATCAAAATAGAAAAATAAAGAGATGTGAGTAGTAGATAATTTATCATTTATTAATCAGTATTAAATAAATATGCAACATCTTAATAACAAATTACAGGTATATCGAAAAAGGTAATTATGTTTCAGTTATGTAGAAAATGAAAAGTTATCCAATAATAAAAGCTCACAGGTTTGTTAGAATTATATTTTGTAGTGGATTTTGAATCTGTAAAACTAAAAATGTGTTAATAGATAAATAAAGTGTTGATAGGCATGTTAATTGGCGTGATCTGGTGGAGTCCACAGCACATGGTGGGCGCGACTTGGATTTCCTGTGTTTTCACGTTTTTATGTTTGATAGGAGTAGTTGATACTTGATACGAGATACATAGTCGTCGCTCGCTGGCATTCATTGGCTGCCACGTAGCTCCAGTCAAATACTTCATTCCGATCCCAGCATTTCATTTGCGCGTTTCCGCTTTTCATTAATTGCTTGCTTTTACTATTTTATTCGTTCAAAAATTTCAACCATATGAATACGAATGAATGAATGCATGTCATGTCTATGTCTATCATTCAAGGTTTTAGTCAAACCCCAGAGTCGTAAATTCTCAGCGACTTTTCCTCTTTATACCTCCCTATTCCCTACTCCCTACCATTTCTAATCTCCGTTTCTGTAAATAGCTACGCATCCATTTTCAAATTCTCTTATTATTTATTCAATCCAACCACCGTGCTCGTTTCTGGAAATTCAAACTTGTTTATCTTTTGCGCAGGGGTTGCCTTTTCATTTGCTGTATTCTGTTGCGTTGCATTTTTTTATTTTTTTTTATTTTTTTATTTTTCTGGTCCTTGCTAACCTTTTGAGCAAGATAATGGGAGCGGTTTGTTCGGCTGGTATGGTGGAGAAAAATGCTGAACTCGGAGGGAAGAGTTCGGGCTTTTCTGGGAAGCTTAAGAAGGAAAATAACTATGTGAATCGGGGAGAAATTTTTTCAGATTCACGGTCTAATACTGGTGCTCAAGGTAAAAAGCAAAAGAAGCGCGACACTGAATTTTCGCATGAACTGGGTTTATCGACTCCTACTTCAACTGGGGGAAAACAGGTGTGTTTTTATTTGGAATGTTGACAATATGCACATATCATTAGGGAAATTTAGGATCGTTTCTTTGGAAATTCGTAGGTTGGAATCAGGGCTTTCGTATTATACCAGAATTAGATGTTGAGCGAAATTACATTGATGAAATGTCGGTTATGAATTAATTAATGACGTGTTTCTGAGTAAATTAGAGTTTCTGGGCTGGCATTTCATAGTATGTTAGGGAACTTCTGAATTGGAAGTTTAATGTTTCATGATTGATGTCTATTTTTTTTTTTTTCATAGGTGAACCATAGGGGTTCTTTTCTGGGAAAAGCTAGCGAGAGGGCAGTGGAAGTTCTGGACACACTTGGGAGTGGCATGCCAAAGTTAAACACTAGTAGTGGGTTTGTCTCTGGCACGACTTCTAGAGGGAAGAAAATATCAGTATTGGCATTTGAAGTTGCTAATACAATAACCAAAGGAACAATTTTGCTTCAATCACTTTCTGAGGAGAACATTCAGTTCCTTAAAATGGAGGTTTTACAATCTGAAGGGGTTCAGCTACTAGTTTCCACTGATATGAAGGAGCTAATTAGCCTGGCTGAGGCTGACAAAAGGTTCTAGCTTGTTTGAAGAATAGTATGCTTGTTTCTCATTGCTGTGCGTTTTCTTTATGTTCTTATCATTGGTTATTTGGGGGAAATTTGTAGGGAAGAGTTCAATGTCTTCTCACGGGAAGTGGCTAGATTTGGAAATATGTGTAAAGATCCACAGTGGCACAACCTAGATCGATATTTCTCAAGGTGAGTTTCCTTGTACATTGCTTATGACAAGATTATGCCAACTTACCATGTTTGTATATTTAGCTGATTGCAATCACAAACATATCTTATTAAAGTCTTTGTGCAAAAATATACCAGATTACACTTGGATGCCCCGGGTGACAAACAATATAAGGTAGAGGCAGAAAAGACAATGCAGGAGTTTACCAGCCTAACTCGGCATACTGCTGTAAGCTCATTGTCATTTCAAATTAAGTTTTGGGTATTTCTTTTTAATCTCCTCAGTGAACTGAATAAACGGCCGAGCAAAATTGTTGTCATCATTTTAGCTTCTTCGATGTATGCTGCATGATTTTGATTATTAAATCTTTGGTATTATCTGTATGTAGTTCTTTAGGCATAATGCCAGGTTTATTTATATTTGTTCATGTTATGCTTTCTGAGTTCTTTATTGGTTAAAGTTAGGTCTTCCAAATGAATGTTTCTTTAGCAGTTCCGTCTTTATTAACTGATTTTCTCCCTTTGTATAGGAACTGTACCATGAATTAAATGCTTATGAACGTTTTGAACAAGATTATTTGCAAAAGATTAAGGAGATGGAGTCCTTAAATCTTCCTCTAAAAGGTTAGAAACATTAAATAGTTTTCCCTAATTCTCTTCCAAATAATACTTGGTATTTTAATATTACAATTTTAGTTTTATTTTTATTATTATTATTTTTTTTTTTTTATTTGCTCAGTTTGGTATCGTATTTTAATATTTGAGATGGAGTGTATAATAATCTCACACACACAAAAAATTATTGGTTTATACTTCATAAATCATAATATTTGTTACCCAATGTTATGAGCAATAAAACCCTTTTTTCTAATAAAAAAAACCTTTTTTCTGCTGAAATATATTCTCAGCCATAGAAGTAGTTTCCATGACGCGTTTGGATTATCAGTATGGCGTACATACATACTATCAGCAGGACACATGCAAATTTAAATCTGGAGAAATTAACTAATGATTGACAGCTACATTCTCTCTAAAATTGTAGGGGAGAGTATTACAATGTTTCAAAGCGAGCTAAAACACCAAAGAAAGTTTGTTAGGAGCTTGAAAAAGAAGTCTCTTTGGACAAGAAATTTGGAGGAGGTATATTATTATCAACGAATAATTCCTAATTTGCATCTACTATTGTTGAATTCAGTCTTTCCCCACGTTTCCTTCTTTGAAGTGTAGAAGTGAATACTTTATACACGCAATTTACAACAATGGACTTATTGTGTTGGAATTGAATTTGCTTATTGCAGATAGTTGAAAAGCTCGTTGATATTGTTATCTATATACATCAAGCAATTTATGAGTTCCTTGGAAACCATGGTACGAAATTGTATCTCTTATGAATAAAAAACCAATGTTGTACCTAATACATCTTATAGCATATGCATCTCTTTATGCACTAGGAGTCTAGGAATTAACTTGGGGTTTGAAGTCTGAACTTGTCCTTTTAATCCTGCACCTACACTTTTTGTCGAAGAAAATAAATAAATCAAGCATGCCTTCTAACTGTATGACATAATTCTGTGTAAAGCAAACGGACTGTGGATTATTTTTCCAATTTTTTCTATGCTCTTGTTTTTGGTTCAAATGTAACTTGAAATAACCAGCTGCCTTTCTCTTTGGGTTGAACTACGTAAAATTAATGACATCAGATGCATATTTACAAAGAAAATAAACCCTTGAAATTAACACTCTATATGTCTCTATTGTACAATTTATCACTGAAGCTCAATTTGGAATCATGGTAAGTTATGTGACTGTAATCAGCTGAATGAGATTACAACTGTTCTTCAGCTAAACGATCTTTTCTGCTCGGACCGATTTACTCTGAGTAAAAACATTTGGAAAACTACATTCATGAATTGACTTGCATGACTTGCTTTTTGTGTGTGCTATCTATCATGTAGATCTCGTTGGCTGGTCATAAGAACTTGTGAAATTTTGGATTTCATGGCAGGTACATCTGCAACCAAGTTCAGTGAGGGTCCTGAAAGACTAGGAGAAGCCGGTCTTGCGCTGCACTATGCTAACATCATCAATCAGATAAATATGATTGTATGTATCATGCTGATAAAATTTGTAATAACCTTATCAAATAGATGTTTTTGCTAAAATAACGTTTGTTTACATCAGGCATCTCGCCCAACTGCTCTTCCTCCAAACACAAGAGACACATTGTATCATGGTTTGCCCAATAATATCAAGACTGCTCTTCCATCCCAGTTACAAACCATTGCTGATATGAAAGAGGTATACCCTCTCTCTACTGGATATTCACTGCCTTCCATTTTCTAATTCTATTTATGTCAGTTTTTGGGGGTTAGTCACACTCACGCCTACATCACGAGGATATGGTTTTATTTCATTTTGGATTATGCTAAATGACAGCAATTTTATGTGTAGCTCTCCATCACTCAGATCAAAGCTGAAATCGATAAGATTCTCCAGTGGCTTGTACCATTTGCGACAAATACAGTCAAGTATGATACGCAATACATTGTTTGCATTTTGTATATACTTGTCTTTTGTCTCCCCTTGTTGGTCTTATTTTCTTATATTAAAATGGGCTAAAGCTCCCTTTAATTGCTTATTTATCTATTGATATTCATGACAGAGCACATCAAGGTTTTGGATGGGTTGGCGAATGGGCAAACACAAGGTTAGTCGTAAACTTGGATACTCTTATGGATATAATTGTGTTTACATGTGTAATATGAACAAATAACACCTCCAAAGAAGGAAAACTCATGATAACTCTGTTCTGATATTGTAGTAATGACTTTGGCGATGACACCTCCACAGAAAGTAATCTGATTCGCCTGCAGACACTTTATTATGCAGATAAGAGAAAGATAGATATTTACATCATTGAGTTGTTGGCATGGCTTCACCATTTGATTAGCTTTGTAAAATCTAGACAAAATACATTGAGACCAATGCCTATAAGGTCTCCTCCTAAGGGACTAGAACTTCAGTCTAAGATGCGACAGTTTTTAATTCTGTCTGTGGATAGTAGCAACAAGCCGTTGGGATCTCAAATTTCCCAGGAGGATAGGAAATTATTGGAGGAGGTAATTGCAAGGAGAAAGAACCCAGGACTTAGCAAAAGCGAGGATCTTGGTTTGGCCAAGAAAAGACAAATCAAGGACTCTCATGTGGCCAAAAGTGCTGGGAGTTCGCCTGCTGGGGAATTCTTTGGTGCAAGACTCGTCTTTAAACCCCAAAACCATAACGTTTTGGATATTATGGATGGGTTGGGTTACTGAAATCTTCATCTACACTCTCAGGGGTTCTCGCCTCTTGCTCTGTTTTTTCTGTTAGAATTCTTCCTAGTCCATTTTCTTGCTTGGATAATAGTCATCATTCATTTCTATACAATTATAGTTATGTATATATCTATATAAACAACTAACACCTGATTTTTTTAACTTACAATTTATTTTTTGTACAGAGAATGAGGGAAATAGTTGAATTCCTGTTGTTCAATTTATTATTATTTTTTGGTGAATACATTGTTCTCCAGTCTCCAATTTTGTTGTTACCAGATGCAGTTTACCTGTTGATTTGGGAATCATATCTCTTGCTTTAGGAATCTTCCCAGTTCCCATTATTTTCATATCTATGGACTTCTTTTTAAGTATTTTCTTGATATGGGTTCTAAACATATTTATTGAGGAACATTTACACTCTGTTGAGATGAGGAGTAAGGAAGAAGTAAAAAAAAAAGAAGATAAAATGAGTTGAAAATTGATACTTCATATAGTAAGTTAGAGTCAATATATATGAAGCACAAGCTTTGACACACGCATACACCTAACGAAGCACAAACTTTAAAATATAGGACACTGGAGTATTGCACATATATACAAATATATATATATTTTAAAATTGTTATAATTTTTTTTATATAATTCATTTATTTTTTTCCTACTTCCTTTTTCATTCATTTCAAAGTTTGATAGCAACCCATTTCATGACATAATGGACCTACTTTTATAGGTTTTAGTAGTTGTTGTATTTCTGTGTGTTTTCTTAAGCACCAAAGCAAAGCTAAAGAAGGGGTTGGATTGCTATATATCCTTTCTTTCATTCTTTCTTTTTAAATGGATTCTCTGCAGAAAGTTTTCTTGGTAACCCAAGCAGCGGAACTGTATATATACGAATCAAATAGGAAATATCTCCGCATGAAAATTAAATTTCAACCAGCTGTGTCGTCCACATATATAAGTTACCAGTTGGATAAACTATCTACAATATTTTATTGTATCGTATGTCATATTGACGGCATTTTTCATACCGTATAGCCATCCTTAAATTAAGAAAACCCTTACTAATGATCATGCAAATTGTTTTGTCTAGCCAATCAACCATATTTGTACCCTAGCATGAGCCATGCTAGTAGGGCTGGTAGATAACGTTTATACAAGATATACACCGGTAAAGAATTTGTCACGATTGCACACTACAAAAGCTTGCTGTTAGGAAATAGCAATCTTAATACCAATTAATTAATATTAGCATAGATACCAACTTCAAATTGGCTGGGCTTCTTTTTTCATCATCTTGATGTCATACACAGCAGTGTTGGAAGCATGCGGAACATTGGGTGGTGGATTGCTTAAACATTGTTATCACTTCAATTCCTCTTAGATCAATTCAGAGTGATTAGAAATCAAATGTGGCCATTTTATTTGGATTTTCTGAAAGACGTACAAAAATAATATGTTATATGAGAATCTATGACGAAAGCTTGTTGTGCATTATTCGATTATTTGCACACTCACTCTCAACTTTGGTTTCCAGCTCATTCTAATATTTCACTTAATTTGGAGCCCTTCGAAGTCTTTTTCTCACTGACCGCATCAATAGTTTCCGAGAATCTAAACCTGAAACGCAGTGTCGGATTTCTTCTTTGAAGTCTGAAACCAGTTCTTGAAAACTTTGAACTTCATTAGCTTCATTTGAAAAATGTTGGAAGGGGTAAAAAGAAAGATAATTATTTATTAAGAGTGTGTTTGTACTGAGATTTTGATAGAGTATTTTAATTTTTTGAAAAATTTTAAATGCTCCGATGTAAAATGTTTTATTTGAATGAAAAATATATAAAAAATTTGAAATTCAATAATTATAAAATTCTTTAAAATTATAGAATTTTAAATTCTTTTAAAAAAATAATAAGAATTTAATTTTTTTTTTCTCTTACCTCGCTCTTCTCTCTTTAAAAGTTGACATAAAACATATCAATAGTTTATTTTAAAAAAAAATTATTGAATATTTAAAATCATTTTCTAAATTAATAAATATTATCTAATATTATTTTTAAAAATTATTAAATATTTAAAATTGGCTAATACTTAATTTTATAAAATTAAATCTTCAAATTTTAATATATATATATATA